TATTAGTACTGATAGTGGTTGATTATTATAATGCTGGGTGGTTAAGTGTGCTTTTCTTCCCCTGCTGTTATTTTTTATTTTTGGTGTGTATACTGTGTGAGATTAATCGCACTCCTTTTGATTATGCTGAGTCAGAGAGGGAATTGGTTACGGGGTTTAAAACTGAGTATAGTGGTATGCTTTCTGCTTGTCTGTTTGTCTGTCAGTATATCATTATATTCATATTTTCATGGTTAGGCGGGTTAGTTTTATTTGTTTGGGTTTTTTGGCTGTATTTGTTGTTCCTTTTCATCTTTCATTTTTATGTGGGCTCGTGTTAAGTTGCCGCGGGTTCTTATGGTTATTTTGTTAAGTTTTTTGGTCTGTGGGGTAAGGCATTTGGATATTGATGCTTTTTTCAGTTGTAATTTGGTGTTTGTATAGATTATGAAATAAATCGTTATGATGTTAACGTTAAGGAGGATTTGGTTCTACAAACGTGTTCTCTGACTTTTGTTTATGTTAACAATGTTAGTTTTGGGGATTGGAGGACGTTTGTGGGAAGTCAGAGAGTGCCAATACGGCTGCTATGTTTGCTATGCTTTCAATAGTGTGTTTGGGTAGTTTAGTTTGGGGTCATCATATGCTTACGGTAGGGTTGGATGTGAAGTTTGCTGGTTTTTTAGTTCTGTAACTATGATTATTGGCGTTCCTACTGGGATAAAGGTGTTTTATTGATTGTACTATACTTTAAATAGTCATGTTTCAGAATGTGAGCCGGTGTTCTGATGGGTTCTATCTTTTATTGTGCTATTTACTATGGGTGGGGTAACTGGTGTAATTATTTCTGCTTGTGTATTGGATAAGATTTTGCATGATACATGGTTTGTGGTTGCTCACATTCATTATGTGATGTCTTTGGGCTCTTATATTAGTATTATTATTTTTTTGTTTGGTGGTGGTGGCCAGTGATTACTGGGGTTGGTTCGAATAAGCATTTGTTGCAGTGCCATTGTACAGTATCTATTGTGGGTTTTAATTTGTGTTTTTTCCTATGCAATATTTTGGTATTTGTGGTTTACCTCGTCGTGTTTGTGTCTATGAACCTGGTTATGCTTGAGTAATTAGATAACTTAGGGTACATACCGAAAAGTTGAGATCTGGCGTTAGTTTAGCTGGAAAGCTAACACGAGTAGTGGTGTTAAAGCTTGGCGTTAAGGGTGATAAATAAGTCGTAAAATTATATATCTGTTTGGGGGTTTTGATAATTGTGAACCCACCTGGTGATGAGATCACGTGGGTGGATATACCTACTTTGTTTGCTGTGTAAGGTTAGGGTTAAATTTACCTCTCTTTATAGAGTTTGTTATAATTGCGGCGTGAGGTTGTGATAGTTGGATTATTTTTGTGGACTCCTTTTATTTAATTATACTCCGTGAAACTATCATTTAATAAGTAATTTTATTAGTTTTTATGTATCTCAATTCCATCCCGTCTGTTCATTAAAAACATTTCCATATGCTAATTTATTTGGTAGTACCTGCCCTATGTGTTAGAAATGGCCGCAGTATCTTGACTGTTCGGCCATTCTCGTTCGGAGCTGTCTTCCGGTTTCTCCGACGTAG